TTTTTTTTTTTTTTTTTTAATCGTCACGTCCTGCGATGTCGTGAATATCGCGATTATCAACACGATATGATATATCGTGCAGCCCGAATCCCTTCCCTGTTGTGTGTTATATAGGTTTGTGTGCATGTAAATGATCTGCAAAGGCTACAATCCATCCATCACAACAGAGCCGGCTAGCTAACCAATCAGAGCAGACTGGGCTCTGGTTTCAGACAGATGGTGAAAAGAGGGTGCTGCAGCACAGACAGTATGAGAAAAATAAAGAGCTTTTTGAACATTAAAGCATCGAAACATGTCACAGTAGAGGCACAAGAACCTGAAAATGAACATAACGGGCCTCCCAGGGAGAAAGAGTTTCTTTCAAACTCCAGGCTCCTGGTCATTATTCTTTCATCACATTGAAACGTCACACACACTAAGCACAAATGAATCGTTCAATCAAAGTGAAGGCAAAGCAGTAAAAACTCGGCCTTGACATTCCCCTCGCCTTCTGATCCATTGGTTTGGCTTGTCAGACATTTTTCTTTTCTCTCTGATTTAATTAACCTTCAAGTGAAGAGTGTTTGATTTAAAGTATGACTGAACCTCAAAGCTAATTCCCTCTTAACTGAGATTATTAAAGCTCTAATTGCATACTTTTTCGTTTTTTATGCAGACCTATACTGATGTCCTTTAACCATTTTTCTTAATTTTTTTAGCTTCCCTGTATTTTGCTTTTGGCCAACAAAGGTATACAATAACAGATGTCTGAGAACACGCTGCTGCACCAATCAATGTTCATCCACGTCTTGTTTCTGGTTCCCAGGGCCTTGGCACTGAGGACGAGGTGCTGATCGAGATCCTGGCCTCCAGGACCGGCGAACAGATTACAAATATCGTCAAAGCGTACAAGAAAGGTGAGTTAGTCCGATGGGAAAGAGAGAGACTGATACACATGTTTACTCTGAGTGTAAGTCAGGCTCTTTGTGTTCTAGTGAGAGTTGTAAATGTAAAATCCGAGTGTAAAGAGAAACTTTACTGACTTCCAGTGGTTTTACTTATCTCGCAGCTGTGACGTAGAAATGTACTCCAGGGTGACATCACTGTTGTGTTGTGCAAAACACTTACAACTGCTTTTCAGCCTTTGATTACTCTTTAATTCCAACATCCACCATCAAAACAATCCTGCTTGATCTGTGAGCAAAATGTCTAAAGGGAGTATTTAGTGTTATGAGTTGTCGAATAATGAAAACCCTCTCCTTACTCAGCTGATTGCAACAAACCACAATAGAAAAAATACTATGCAACAACAAATGCGAAAGTTTATTTGGTTTGGATAAGAGAAGACCATGGTGTCCATTAGCGTACTTATCCAATCTCTGCTGGGGTAGAGCCTCCTGCAGAGCCATTAGTGACCGTTGTGTGTGAGAAGTGTAAGCAATCCTCTGCTCTTCTTCTCCTCTTTCCCCCAGAGTTCAACAGAAAGCTGGAGAACGATATCCTCGGTGACACCTCGGGGCACTATCAGAGACTACTGGTGGTCCTGCTGCAGGTAGAGGGGGGGGTGGTGGTGGTGGCTGCTGCAAAGACTTAAGTTTCCTTTCCAAATAATGAGAGCCTCCGGTGGTGCCATTACATTACACAGGCATGAGAGTTTGGAGCAGGAGGGGAGAAGGGTTTACAGCACACCAACACTGTTGGTTTCAGAAATGTGTTTTGGTGTACAGACAGAAATGTAATCTTCTTGGTAATGGGACATGGCAGATAAAGTCATTTTCAGTTATTACGTGTTGAGAGGATTTCCCATCCACTGACATGATTCCTCTTTCTGTCTATCTCTGTCTACCTGTGGTCTCTCTGTTCGTCTGTCTACCTGTGTCTCTCTGTTCGTCTCTATTTGTCTGTCTACCTGTGTCTCTCTGTTCGTCTCTCTATTCGTCTGTCTACCTGTGTCTCTCTGTTCGTCTGTCCGCCTTTGAAGGGGAGCAGGGAGGATGGACTAGGCGAGGAAAATATTGATAAAGATGCAAAGGTAAGAAGAAAGAACACGAGAATGTCTTGTTTCTACACAAAGCATTTCCACATCACTAGAACTCACTCCACTAGAGGGTACTACACTAAATTAACTCGTTCAAAATATATAGTAATTTGGCCGCCATATAGCTCAGTTAATGTACTGGGTCTTGTTACAGTTCATATAAAGCACAAAGACCTTACAGTATATATCAATAAATTATGCAGGTGACAGGGACATCAACATAAAGTACAAAAAACAATTACAAAAATAATCCATCCTGATATCAGTCAAAGGGATTTTCTCATCTAATGTGTGAAGCATTTTAAAACCAGTACCCCTATCTCAGATTTACCATGATAATTCTGGAATACCAAATAGTCCTGGGTCCTAATGCAGTGTGGATTCGATTTATGGTACATGTAGAATACCTCAGTAGTAGGGCTGCTCAATTAATCGTATTTTAATCGCGATTATGGCTTACAACGATTACGAAAACAACAAACGTTTTTTTTTATTATTGGTTTTTCAGTTGAATTATACTTCAAAGTTCAGGGTAGTCAACTGTTTAACACATACTGTTACAATTTTGAAAACATCAATTTATTGGAGAACAAGCTAAATGGATAATCGTTTTTAATAATCGTGATATCAATTATTGACCCAAATAATCGAGATTATAATTTGTCATAATCGAGCAGCCCTAGTTAGTAGTGCTGTGTTTTTATAATGAATTGTGCAGAGCTGAAGTAAAGAGACAGAGCTCCTCCTTTTTTAAGCTGCAACATTAAAGCATCAGCAATTATAATTCAATCATATCACACATTGTTCTGAAAGTGGCCACTCAAAATAAGAACTTAAAGCTAATACTTGTGAACTCTTACTTAAAGATATGAGTACTTTTCTCAGAGTAACTTCTAGTTGCCTGGCAACAGCCGAGAAGTAGTCCAGCACATAAGCCCGACGGTAAAAGTCTGATGGCTCGATAAAAAACACCCTTGATAGTCTTTCTTTGAAAGCACTGTGGTTTTAATTCTTTACACTTCATGTGTTGAAAGGAATGTGTTGTTTATAAATTGCAACATACATTAACTTTAAGAGCTGAAAATGATGCAGAAATCCTGTGCAAAACATCAAGAAACCTCTACGGTACAATGCATATTTTATTTCACTGTCTTCTTTTCAAATGTCAACATGTGAAGGATGTGATCATGTAATTGAGTTTTCTCCCCACAGTGCAGTGAACAAAGGTCAGACAAACAGATAATAGGATAAGTTAATTAAAGAATATCAACATCCAGGAATTTAACATCTGGCTTCATATTGAGCTTTATGGGCCATTACTTATTGATTTTGAGTTGTGAGTTGGGATCTATTAATAAACATTAAAGGTCCCATGTGTGAAATAAAATTACCAAGCCAGTCCTGTTTGACTCTTAACAAAAGGTTAAAGTATTAAATGTCAACAACTGTTCTTAAGGAAGATCCTTGTAGAAATATCAGTCTGTTAATAATGCTTTGCTAGTTGTAGTCATGAATTAAAAATGTTAATTAGGTAAAAGTACAGATAAGAGTAATAATTTTCAAATTTTAAAAGCGACTCAATATGGATAAATGACTCATTTTATACAGTGTTGTATTTTATAACTTACCAACCAGAGCGTATTGTTAAAGCATAGAATGGATAGAACTCTATTAAAATGGATAGAACTCTATTAAAAGCATTATTGGAAAGCATTTGTGGTTAGTTACTTTATTAAATATAAAGACAATACATCACTTGTTGTTTTGTCTTTCTAACATACTGTATGTAAGAAAGACAATAACTTCCTTGTTAGGTTATATTTTGCTTTTCTTCTTCTGGATTTTATTTAATCTTATGTGTGTGCAAAAAAAAGAAGCAGAAATACACTATGCATAATTAAATATTAAGAATCAATGTTATTGCTTCATTTGCACAAATTAAAACTTGATGAGAACAACATACATACAGCCGCAGGTGAAGAACTCTAATTTCTCTGTCATAGCAAAGACTAATTGAGAGAAACTTTCCGTGTTGTTTTGGTGCGGTACGAGCTCCTCAATCAGGGCTGTCAGTCCTGCTCTGCTGGTGTGAATAAGTCACGTCATGTACACAAGGTTTCCTGTGTGTGTAAAAGTGTGTCTGACATTTCAGGCCTTGTTTGACGCTGGTGAGGGAAAGTTTGGCACCGATGAGGAACAATTCATCACAATTCTTGGCAACAGGAGGGTAGAACATCTCAGAAAAGGTGAGTGTTTGTGGCAACACAATATATGTCAGTATGTGATAAGGTGTGATTTGTTAGCCACCTGTTTAAAAGAGCAACGTCAAAAGTTGGAAACGGCATTACTCAAGGGAAACGGGACAAGAAACAATTTGTTGCTGACCAAGACTTCATTAATAATTTAAAGTATTTAAAAATAAGAGACCAAACCAATATAAGCAGCACAAAAGTTTCAAAAACAAAGCACAAGCAGCAGAGTTCATTAAGGTTTGATGAAAAAAAAACTTGTTCGTCCCGAGGGGTAAACATGTCTGGCTGCAACAGAAAGAGGTCAGAGTGGAAAATGGAGAGTGGTTTAAGCTGGTTTGTGAGTCAGACGACGACAAACTTAAACATTTAAGTGGATGAACTCGAGCAGCAAGAAACAGGTCAGCTAACGGGTTACCATAGCTGAGGGAAACGGTGAACGTGATTCTTTAGAGTAACTTCATATTAAGGTGCGTTAACAAGTCCTCACAGCTAAACAATAGGATAACACGGATGCAAGTTTCTTCCAAAATGACCTGCAACACTCGTTGTGACTCGTAATAATAGACTTTATTCACATTTACAAAGTGTCAGATATGAAACAAACTAAGCCAAGTAAGCAGATTCTAAGCTAGTTGGGTTATAATGGAATTGGGATATCAATCAATGTGTCACAAATGTTACATTTGTCTCAGTGGACTCACAGTTTGTACAGAATATCAGTATGACAATACGACACCCTCTGTCCTTGGACCCTCGCATCGTACAAGGAAAAACTTCCAGAGAAAACCCACAGTTTAAAGGGGAACATGGGAGAAACCTCAGGGAGAGCAACAGAGGAGGGATCCCTCTCCCAGGACGGACAGACGTGCAATAGATGCCGTGTGTAAATTGAAAAGATAATACATTTACAACATAGGTAGACCAAATGTTTGGAAATGCATTAATTTAATTTCAAACAATTATTTATCCAGGTGTATCCCATTGAGATCATTGATCTATTTTTCAAGGGAGACCTGCTCAAGTAGTCATTACAGGGATTTACAATTTTAAATAACTATCCGCTTGAACAGGTACCAACAGCTTCCGATTGAGTAGCATCCAACCGAGCTTTAAAAAAATTTAGTGGCACCAGATTGCTCAGTTTCCATTTCAATTGCAGACTATTCCAAGACAGTGGAGCTGCGCAGCTAAATGCTATCTTCCCTGAGACAGTCCTAGCAGTTGGCACATTTAATAAAACTACAGCATGCGATCTCAGGCAGTAGCCACTTACAATTCGCCGTGAGATCAGGGACCAGATGTAGGATGGAAGTTTCCCTAACATGGCTTTGTATATAAAAATGTACCAGTGACTGAGCCTCCGTACAGTTAGTGAAGGCAAACCAGCCCTTGCATACAGGGTACAGTGATGGGTTAATGCTTTACAGTTTGTCACAAATCTCAGTGCACTGTGATACGCAGCATCTAACTTGACCGGGCAATAGGCAGGTGCATTCATATAAATCAAATCACCATAGTCCAGCACAGGTAAAAAGGTCACAGTGACTAGCCTTTTCCTGGCCTCAAGCGAGAAACAGGACTTGTT